TGTCTTCTCTCAAATGACACAGATTTGTGCCCATATACACTATCCCAGATTCCAAATAATTAGAAATGTTTCTTCTGGAGAACTGACATCTCTACATTTCAATTTTCCCTCTGGGTTCTCTCATTTCTCAAGTGGCAGTTATAACGCTTGATACTTATGGTTTACCGGCAGTTTCTTGATTTAAAATAACTGATTCCCACACTCAGATAAATCTGACTCCTTTGTGTACTAACAGCTTGTCTTCACAAAAGCCACCGGCCTGTAATCTCAAATTACATTCATTCATTTGGTCACCCCAAAAAGTCTTAACAGGTTTCCTAGGCACCAGCTGTGACATGATTTGTCTTCCTAACAGTTAAAACTGCCAAAGTGTTCCCGATTTTGCTCCAGAGTACAGGTAATTTTTTTTTCTTTTGGCAAGGAGTCAGTTGCAACTGGTGCATATATTATGAACATATGCTGTCAAAAGGAAAGAATTCTGACAGAAGACAAGGTATATGATGAGAAATTTAAATAACTGGCACCTTAAAAACTACCAGGAAAATAGGAAAAATTCTCCAACAGAAGAGAAGGTAAATGAGAAATTTAAATGACTGGCATCTTAAAAAATTATTGGGGAAACTTTCTACCTCAGTTAAGTTTCTGGCAAATATACTCAAGAAAAAATGGGACTTAGCTTTTAATAGTATTCCCTTACTTGCAGTTTCACCTTCCAAGGTTTCAGCAACCCACAGTCAACCGTGGTCCAAAAATATTAAATGGAAAATTCCAGAAATAAACAATTCTTAAGTTTTAAATTGCATGCCATTCTGAGCACCTTACTTCATCTCATTACAAAAGCACTGCAACATCTCACATCATCACAAAATGAAGGGTGACTACAGTACAGTAAGATATTGTGGGAGAGAAAGCCCACATTCATGTAACTTTTATTACAGTATGTTTTTATCATTGTTCTACTTTATTATTGTTATACTCTCTTACTCCTATGTATGTATGCATGTATGTATGTATGTATGTATAGAAAAAAACAATATATGTAGGGTTCGGTACTATCTACAATTCAGGTATCCATTGGGGGTCTTGGAACACACGCCCTGTGCATTAGCGGGGACCACTGTACTGCTGGCACACTGGAGAGAATAAACTAAAAGAAGAGAACTAAAAATATTAAAATGACTAGTTAGGTGTGTATCTAATTGTGGTAGTTACTGAATGGCAATATTACTATGAAGTGACGTAGGAGAATGTCATTAGCCACTAGCATACACGTCATTCATATTTAGTTTTAGCCATACCTGAAGCCAAGCCACCATTTAGCAAAACTTTACAATAGTTGTCTTCATCAATAAGGAAGTTGACTTATATTTTTAACCAGTTTCATAAAAAGGTTCCACTCTATTTATCCATGGGGATTTAGCCTTATCTCAAAAGAAAAATCTTCTAGAAAATGTAGATACCTTAAGAAGGTGACAGCGATTCTTATCCTATCAGTAGATTATGTAAAATTGAATACTATAAATTCTAATTTCCCAGGGGACTAAAAAATTCAGACAAGATAAAATTTTCCACTATCAGAAATGACTTTACTTTTGAATCGAAGAGGAAAAAATACAAAATCCCTCCAAAATAATTTGTTCTTTTTAAAGTATTTTATGAAATATTTCATTTATTAGAAAAATTCTAAATATTCATATCATTAATATATTAGTCCTGTTTAATGTCAAAACTGACAGTTCATTTTTATTAGGCTATAAACAAATGCCAATAATGAAGAATCACAATAGTTTTTCCAATTACTTTCTGTAGCCTACTATATACAAACTCCAAGATAAAGCTGTTTGAATTGTCAATAAAGTTAATAAAACTTTGAATATATATCTCTCTTGATGTTTGCATATCAATACTGGAAAACATAATTGGTCAGTAAAGCAAATTTTCCACTACAGGGATATAAAGTAATTCTTAACAATGAATTATACCCATCTCTAAAATAATATTTCCGCAAATTATTACATAATCAATCCCGTCAATCCATTTTTATAGAAAGCAATTCAAAATCTATGTTTAAGGTAATGAAGTAACTTTAAGAATAATCACTAGTGAACCCCATTTCAGAATGTAACCACGTTAGCACAAGTTATAAGAATAGAAGTCGAGGTAAACTTATGAAGTAGAATCTATGGAAAAGAACTTAGTAACTCTCCAATTAATAATATTAGTAATAAGAATTAAGAGTCGGTACTATGTAGAAAGAAAACGTTCCAATGTAGCCAGCTGCAGGTGGCTTTGTGACTCCAGAACTAGGTATGTCTCCACTACAGAACTTTCAATAAAACTGATCTGAAATTCACTTTAGAGACAAAGGAATTATGAATAAGGACAACTAGAAAAAGTCCAGAAATGATGTCTTACAAAAAGTACGTTCCAGGGTACAGGAACTACAGCTTTTTAATTTTACTTATATTTTATGACACTGAAACAGGTACATGCTAATAAGTAACTGTCATACAAAATACTTTCCATATAGTAAATTTTTAAAAATCAGTCTTTAAATTTCCCTATAAATATTCCTTTACTGAAATACCATGATAGAGAAAACACTATTTAAATTTTTCTTACCACAAATTACAATGTACTCTTGTTTTAGCATAATAAACACATTTGATTTTTTTAGACTAATATGAACTATTTAAAACAACCTTTTAAAAATGTTATGGATAATAACCAAACACTATATCATTTTCTCTTACATCGTTTAAAATACAGAGTCAGAAGCTGAGGGTACATATACCAATCATAGATGGGAAATCTGTTTTTTTCTCTAAGCCAAGTTTACCTTCCCTGTAAAGTCCACATACATTAATTGATCTGGCTCTTCATTCTACTCCAGAATCTTCTTATAAAAATAGATTTATAACCTGCTGTGATCTTCTTATAAAAACAGATTTATAAATTACCTGCTGTGATCCTGACAGTTCTCAAAGTTGGTTCTCAAAAAGTTAAAAACGCTATTTTAACATTATTAACCAAAGTGGTTCAAGTCTTTTGCCAAACTCTCAAGTCCCTCACCCCTTGTCATTGACACATTTATCTTACTAATCACTAATGGAAAAAAGATCAATTCTGCCATTTCTAAATCTCCACTATCGACATATAGGCCCAGCATGCTGGAGAGTGGGAGGTATAAGAATAGGAATCACAAAACCAGGCAGAATGAATGCCCTCCCACAGTATCCCACCTCAATGCTCTCAAGGTCACTCAGCATTTCTTTCATATATCTATGGTCTTCCGTTTTCTACCATAACCATTCCAAACATTTATTCCCCTTTTATGATTTCGCCACCCAGGAACTGTCTTACTTTGTTAAAGGGCTTCAGGAAGCAATGATAAGGAATGACTTCCAGCCCTAATAACTGTGATCTACGGCAAAGTTCACACATTTTTATCTTTTTCCATGTTATCTCAGAAGTCGCCTTATTTCTAAGACTCATAGTTTCTTACCTGCTCTAAGACCTTTTCAAACTCTCAGGAAGCTTGCTTCATCAATTACCACCACCCCTCCCCCACCAATATCACCTTCCTCTCTGCTGCCTTTTTGTGCTCAAATTTTTAACATCTTAAAAAATAAAATAAAAAAAAAAAATAGAACTGGCATTAAATTTAGCATCTTCTAGCTACTACCATCTTCCCTTCTCAGGTAAATTTTTTTGAAAGAGTAGCTGCTCCCATTTCCATAATTCTCCTTTATTGCTGCTTCTCAAAATACTGCAATTTGATTTGCAATCCCATCACTCCACTTAAATTACTTTTGGAGAAGTTTCTAACAATTTCATAAATGCCAAGTCTAATGGTCATCTCTCAGTCTTTGTTTTATTCGACCTCCTTGTTTAAGCTGGCAACAAGAATCGTTCTTTCTTTGCTATGTTGAAATAATGGGGCTCCCAACAGAACTATCCTGAACTTTGTTCCCAATTTATATCCTCTATGGCTTCCACTATCATGCATGAGATGAACATTTCCAAAATCTTATTCTAGCCAAGACTAACATGAGCATTAAACCTGTAATTCAGCTACCTATAGGTATCTATTCTATACACCACATATATCTCAAACTCAACATTTAGAAACTGAATTCATAATCTTCCAAATTTGCTCATACCCTGGTTAACTATATTCTATCAAGCAAAGAACCTAGGAGTTATGTAAGACTTAATAATTTGCATTGACATATTGCAGTAGAGAAGCAAGCCAATGAATATCCACACTTTTCCCACTGACAAAATGGGGATAATCCTACCTACTGTCTATCAGCTCTACTAAGAAATCAATAAGACATATAAAATGAGACGTTCAGTTACTTAAGGTGATTGGGAGAGGGGAAAGGTCATGCTATATCTGCTCCAAATTCAGAGAAACAGGGTCTTAATAACTTTCTTTCAACCTGTGAAAATTCTTAATGACTAGAAGTTAAAAACTCCCATTGTACTGTGGAGTTAGCAATAAGTTTCAGAGCTTAAATTCTTCAGGATTCTGCTGACTAATGACCACAGAAGACTTAATGAATGAAGCTATAATAATTTTAATCATTTGTCATAAAAGGACTGATTTAAAAAATATATGAGTGCCTATCTGCTATGTTCAAGATACAATGCTAATTACAATGGGAAACGCAAAAAGAAAACTCAGTTCCTGTCCTCAGTAAATTTGTTATCTGGTTAGAAGATACTAAATTGACACAAATGCTATGACTTAAAAGCCTTTAAGTACAATCAGTGGTATTACACAAAAATTCCTAATTTAAAATAATAAAAAATAAGCTTTCAGAATTCGTTGAAAATGAAAAGGAAATAGAAAAACTAAAATCACAAGTAATCCAAAAGAGAAACTACAGTTTTATATTGTCAATTTTAATATCACTGATAAAATACACCAAGTTTTATATATTACTGCAAAGAAAAGTGTTGCAAAAAGCAAGACGCTTCTATTTTACAATTACCTTTATTTGGGACTGATTTCTTCACTGAGGCGACATGATCTTCTGAGATTGCAAGACGCCTCAAAACATCAGCCAAAGCTGCCTTTAGTACAGTGATTTCATCCTCTTGTTGTTGAACTCGTAACTCAAGAGCTGAGAGGCGATCTTGAACATCAGAAGTACTTGCAGCAGATATACTATCATCTATAAAATAAAGAAAATATGGAAATTTTAAAAGTAAATTGCTTAAGAATCTAATGATATATAAGAATAACTATATCAGAGAAGTCTTTTAAAAGATGAGGAAAATTAAAAACAAAAAACAAAAAACCTCACTATTTTTACACAGATTAACCTCTACAGAAACTTTTAGAGTTATTTGAACTAATTTAAAATAATATGTTAATATATCTGACAAATAATTCTGAAAAATTTCCCCGAGGTAAAATTTTCCCAATTACTATATTATCACCTTAACTGTTTTATTCACCAAAATGTTTCCTAAACATGTCATTTTATAGACTTTTGGAAACTTGCAAGAGAGTAAACTATTCAAAGCATCTTTTTTAATTACCACATCATTATCATACTTCTCTATGAAAATAAAAAGTACAAATAACTTCAGTTTTGCTTTACACATAAGAACCACTCACCTCCATCATCAATGACCAAAAAAAGCACTCTTCAGTATTATGCTCCCCAAACCCCACAAAATACTGCTATATAATTAGCAAAAGACTCTCTGCTGTTTTTTCCCCCTAATGCCCCAATCTCTTGAAGAATGGGTATGGACCCTATATAGAACATAGCTAATATTTGCCTTAAGTATATCACAACATAAAGACTATTCAAAAGCTTAGCTATAACATAGCGATTATAAACTACTTCCAAAGCTATGTAACTTTAAAAGTATACTGCTGGGTTAATCAGAATCCATGTGTATAGAAAGATGAACTGTTATTGGCTAATTCACCATATGCAGAAAAATTCAAGAGGGAACTTAGATCTTACATAAGAATGGTTTGGAACAGAGTGATATAAACTGGGTCAGTTATTCACACAATAAAGCAGAGTGTGCCATTTTTCTCATACTGAGATAATGTGCTATATATCTTCTTAAAAAAAGGCAATTTAACTCAAAATTTGAGTTAAAATAAACACAGCATTTAAAAAGCAAACCTATCGACATTTATAATGGAGTAGTCAATATTCATATTTAAGATCATATATGCCTACATACCTCTGAGGCATACATATATACTCTCTTCTACCTTTTAGAGGTATTTCAGTGACAATCTTTGAGAAGTACTAATATGGAAGGAAAAGTTGGGTTTATTCAACTTAGACTTCAAATTCTGGTTTCATATAAATTAGTTGTATAATCTCAGGCAAATGACCTCTTTGAACCTCAATTTCTTCATCTTTAAATAGGGTTATTATGAGTAAGGTACCTAGGATGGACATGTTTGACATTCAATAAATATTTAACATATAACAGCAAAGTACAAAAGGTATAATTTGAGACCTTTGGGAACATTTTTTACATAAAAAGCAGATCTGTCAACCTCTGAGATGCTTAAGGACTAGCTCAGCCTCTCACTTTAGAGATTTTCATATTTGAGGTCTTTTTCATTTCCACAATGGTCTAGCTAAATTCTAGCTGATCCATATTCTTTGTGTTATATTATGGTCACTGTTTTGTTTTGTCTTGTTTTTGTTTTGTTTTGTTTTCTGTCTGCCTAGAATGCTTTCCCGTTTTCCTTCCTCTGGTAGGAAGAACAGCAGCTCTTCTCTTTTGTGGAACTCCACTGTTTTCGGAGGTCCCATTAGGGCTAATCTACGATGCCTCACTCTCCCCTCTACTACCCCACACTATTGATAAGTTGAACCATGTGAAATGGCCTTTTTAGTTGGCAGAAATGGCTACTGGCAATTTTATATGGTTCAAGCTAATACTACCACAGGGGTGTGGTTGTGAGATATGGGCTAGACCAAATGGAATCCTCCCTATTTCCCAGAAAGGACGGTGTAGTCCATCCTTCTTGGTTTGCCAGCTATAAAGACATAAATCTAAGGCTATAAGGGATAGAGAGAGTCTTGACTGCCCCAAGCTCCAGTCCTAGTCTCTAAAGCCCTGGACCTTTAATTCTGAGAGTTGTTCTAGCTAATTATGTAACCTAATAAATCTCCTTTTTGCAAGCCATCATTGGTAAGCCAAAGGTCTTAAGTCAGTAAGTACATGAACATGCTTTTCTAAATTGCTCTCAATTTATGAAGAATGAGTTATGTATTTAAATTACAATCACAGATAAAATTTTTATGTGATTTTAATAAACAGTCTTATTTTGGGAAGGCAGCAGAGTCCAGTGGAAAGATTATCAGATTATAATGCCAAGGTTACAGTCATGGGTTTTAGTTAGCTTTTACTTGATTTTTATGAAATCTGATTTTTAAAAAGTGACTAAGGTTTTTATTTTGTGAAACTTGTTACGTGAAAGGTGGTTCAGCTTGTAAAAACCCTACCATTATCTGCTAGATACTGTGATAAGACACAGGACAATTTTTCAAAGTTAACTATTAACAATGTCCTGCATCTATAGTGTATCTTTCATATTTATTACCTCACCCCCTCCTCATACTATCTCTATTTTGTATTTGAGAAAAACAGATTTGAAGCTGAATAGCTTGCCCAAGGTCACCAAACTACCTTGATATCTGAGACTCAAATACAATAACTCTTGACTCACCATTTAAATGTTCTTTACTCTAAAATAACCACAGGAGGGCAAATTTTTTTTCCCTCCCACGAAGCCACTGAAAAGTTTAAACTACTGAGTGATCTAGTAAGATTTTTGTTTTAAAAAGGTCATTTTGGCTGCTGGGTGAGAATGGATTGAAACAGGATAAGAGCAAATGCTAGGAGACCAAGTAGGATGCTACTGCAGTAATCATATGAAAGGTGATGACGGCCTACGTTAAAATTTAAGTGTCTATGTGTCTCAATTTGTCCAGGACAAATAAGTCTGCTATCTCAGTATAAATATTACCATAATGCTCCTTCTTCCACTCTCAAGTTTCCCAGTTTGGATGATCTACTGAGTTACAATGGAGATACAAAAGAGTACAGTAGTTGATTTCAACAGTTCCTTATAGCTCTAAAATTCTATAACCCGTCCTGTCATAAATCTTACCTTTTGGGGGCAAGAATTTCTTTGGAAAACCAATAAAAGCTGGGAAAACCAAAAGAGAACTGTATGTGAGCTGTAGTGTTACACTGCTTGAGTAAATTTGTTTGCTACTTAGCAGCTCTTTGATTTCCTCATGTGTAATTTCTTCATGCTAATTACTACTTACCTCAAACCTGGGATTGTTAGATGAAATAATGCACAGCACTGCCATATACTGAGGATTCAATAAGTTATTATCCTCTATGGTGGTGTTCTTTACTATACTCTTTATTATTGCTACAAAATGGGAAATGACCTAAAGTCCATGGATGGGTCAATAAACTATATGTTCACACCAAAGAATACCATGTAACAACTAAAAACAATGTGGTAGGCGTATAAACTAAAAATTAGAAAGACCTATAAGACAACTTAGGAGGAATAAGCAAATTGCAAAACAATATGTGCTGACTTATTTATTAAAATACACACACACCAAAAACATACTTCTAAAAATTAAGCAAAAAACTTCATACTTATATATGTATATAGTGTACACACAGAAAAAAGTCTAGAAACATAAACATGAAACTGGTGATTGGGTTACTTCTGACCAAGACAGTAGCATTGGAAGGATGGAGTAAAGGGAAATTTTTGCTTTTTAATACAAATATTTCTACGTTATTTGAATTTCACAATAAAAATGTATAATAAGTTACTAAACTTACATTTCAGCTAAAATGCATTGCTTCTGAAGCTTGATTTTTTTAAAGCAAGTTTCCTCCAGGCACAGTGTTCCAATTTTATAAAGGAATATATTTATTAGAGTATAAGGCGATTAACTTTGCACTCATCTATTGCTATGGCTAGAAAAGAGACTACCTTAAAGAACAACAACCCTTCCTGCTAAGACTGGGAAATTAGGTGAGTTACTCACTGTCACACAGCAAACTGGGATTAGAGTTCCCCCTCCTCAGAGATGCTACAAAATTCAACTCTTACCCTTTCCAGTTTGTAAACTTTGTTCTTTTTTTCCCTCTCCCAATCTCTAATGTGCCACACTCTCATTCACAATGAACTTTTTAGGAATATATCAGTTATGAAAATATATCTATTTTCTTGGGGCTTTTTACACTTCCTCTTTTAAATCCAAGTATATGAGTTCCTTTTCCTTATTTCTCTGTTCCTAAAAATAGCTTCCAGATTTAAGGGTTAAAATATGAACTATAAGTGAATTCTCAAGGGTTCTTAAACACATTAAGGGGGAATGGAAGAACAACAAAAGGAGGTTGATAAACCTTTATCCATAAGTCTACTCTATTATCATAAATAAGTCTCTTTTATTAGAAGTGTAGGCAAATTTACATGTAATTAGTAAACTTTAATATTCAATATTATAGTTTTAAAACTACAATAATAGCTGTTCATTATGCTTTTCCTAAAGTAAATCATAATTAGTCTTCTGAATTGTCAAGAAATATGTGTTACCTCTGCAGATACACTGTATTCTAAATATAAAAAAGCTGGCAATCTAGCATATCTGAACAAAACATGCCTATAATACTTTGAATATTAATGACTTTATGTAAATCCTTCTAAAATAAAATATTTTGTCTTCCAAATAAGGACATATAATTATAATGCAGTCACTTCTAAATGACTAAGTCTTTACTAAGAACATTAATTTTGTGCTGCAGCACTGTGATAAAATAATGCCTTCGAAGCTATTATATTTCTAACTAAATAACTGAAAGTATCTCATTTTCAAATTTCTAATTCTTTCGTGCAACTTTTTGTTTCTCTCTTTGCAGTTAGGATTAACTATGCCAGTCTATAGCGACACCGTTTTCCAATCTAATTGCCTACATTATAGGATATTGGACAACCAAGCTTTTTGAACTGTTTATAAGAAGAGAAAATAACTTTCGAAATTAGGACTTCTTCTATTTAAAAAATATATTATGTATATTATACACACATACATCATACATATGATGTATACAATCTACAAAGAAAGGGGGAAAAAATGAACACAGC